TGGGCAAGTTTCGCTTAATTTTAATTGAAAAATGTTAAAGGATTTTAACTGATTTTTTAACCATGTATTTGGTCACATAAGCGTTGCACATATCTGCATTCTATGATCTGGGGTGACTTATTAATTTTCCCACGCATTCAAAACCCTCCTTTATACTTAATATTACGACTAAATAAATAGCCGTTTATTTATTAAAGATGGCCTTGGTTTTTTGGTACATAAAGTGAATTTTCCGAGATATTCCGCTATCAATCCTTCACTCTTTTCGTAATATACAGTATATTCTTTCCAAGTACCGGTACGTTTTATTACTTTATTTGCTTCAAATGTTCAACTTTGTGGAATTTTATTAACAAAGTCTATCGTTGACCAGGGGTAATAGAACCAGCAGTGGTATGAACTGTTCTTGGGAACAAATACGAAGGGAAATCAGAGCTTACCGTAGTTCTGTTAACCCCTCCAACGTCGCGAGTATAAAAGACTTTTGCTTTGATGAAAGAAATAACCGCGCTTATTTCCTGGCAACCGATCCTTCGCGAACGAAAACTTCTACTTTATTTATGGTTGATTTGCCACCTTTAAAATGCAAAAAAGAAAAAACCGAATCAACTAATAAAGCTCGAGATCAAAGTGAGTCTACATTCAACTTTACTAATAACGAATCGTGCGCAAAAGGTAAGCTTTACTCCGAAAATGGCTCAGCTTTTAGAATTTCCAATATTTGTTAGTATAATTGTCTTATTGAGTGATTATAAACGATGAATTAAGATGAATTCATGATTATGGTTTTAAAAAAAACTACTATCGTTAATAATCGCTAGTTTCGCGACTTTTCGTTTGATCCGATTCAATATTGACTATTTCTTTTGTAATATACTTTCGAATGGGTTATTTCAATCATATTATCATATTTATAAAGTAGAAAATTTTTATGTCAATTAATGTAATAATGGCTCATCAGATTTTCATTTTTTATAGAATTTTCTTTTACTTTTTGCCCATCGACACCACATGATATATCTATTCGCTCTGAATCTATAAAACCATCGAATTCGATTAATTCTTCTACTATCGATTTTTTGTCTGTGAATATTAAAACGCAACTTAAATCACAACAATCTAGCATATTGCCAAAAATACCCACTGTGGAGTGGAAACCATTACTTCCAGAATCATGTCTAAGGGAAACCCATTTTTCAGAGGCATTATCACGAGAAGAAATGTTTGTGAAAGAACGAAGGAGGTTAGCTTTACAAGGAATCACTAGTTATCAATTTGATTCTCGAAGTGGTCAAATATTATTTAGCTATGGAAGTGGAATTTACTTAGGACATGTTAGCAAGGTAATTATATCTTACGTAAGTTAGATATTGTTTGATTCATGTTATTAATGTTGATTTTAATGTGATATTATCTTGCAGAATACTGAATTTTATCCACGCCCAATAATACCTTATTCATCAAATCCTGCAACATGTTCTGGAGGCATAATGAATTTTTCACTCGCCCACTCACCGCAAAATAATCGCATATCACCACTTTCTTCTCCTTCAACTACCAGCTCTTCTCCTTCATCACCTTGTTGCCCCTCACTAATTAATACATTACCACCACGATTAGACCCAAAGTTGGGTGGTCGTAATTGCGATCTTGTCGCTTTTATTCGTGACAGAGATATTTGGGTCACAACTTTAAATGGTTTGGAGACTCAACTGACGTTTTGCAATGAGCATGACCCAGACGGATCTTCTGCCTTAAGTTGCGGTGTTGCTGAGTTTGTGATGCAGGTAATAAAGCCAGTATTTAATTTATATGAATTTCTCGATAGTATGACAATAGCAACTGTAAAGTTCACTGTAATCATTAATGCCATCAAAAGGAAGAATTTCACCGTTTTACAGGCTATTATTGGGCACCAGCATGCACAAAGGAACATGTTGAACGAATTTTATATTTACAAAATTCAGAATCTATGGTAGATTTAGTTTTAATACCTCGACCAGGTCAACAAGGAGAAGCAGAAGAATATCGCTATCCAAAAGCCGGTGAGTTAAATATTTGATATTCTAATACTGTATTACTGTAAATTCTTAATTATTTTATTAACTATTAAATGTGTATGCTTTGCTTTTTCATTTTCTATAGGTACTCCAAATGCAGTGAGTGATTTACAGATAGTCGAATTCATTCCACGTTACAGCGATGAGGTAAATTTTATTTATACATCTCATTTATTGCTTATTTTTTTTTTAAGACTTGTTAAGTAATTCACACAACAGATTTATAAAAGGAAGCAACAATCAGTCCTGTTCACAAAAGGCTTTGGGGTCTTGCAGCGTTGGATAAACTTTTTCCGTGGAAGGAGTACGTTGTTCGGTTTGGCTGGTGCCCAAATGGCAAAAGGTAATAGTATCTTTTAATTAATTAATCTGACTTTTAATTCATAAAATCTTATATTTACACCTCTTATAGTGTTTGGGTACAGCTCCTTGATCGTCCACAACGAAGGACGGCGATTATTAAAATTCCAATTGTCAACTTTATGAGTCTATCAGAATATCAAGAAAGTGGCGGAAAATTAGATAAACTTTGTATGTCACGTATTGAGGTTGTTTTTGAAGAAACGAGCGACATTTGGATTAATGTAGGTAAATTTAATTTTATTTCATGAAATAACTATAAATTAAATTAACGTTTTGATTGGTCATTTCAACCCATGGATTTGTTGATATTCTACTAAATCGGGTTCTGTATGCTATATGTAACAGGTAACAGATATTTGTTATTTTTTTAACGATGATGAGATTATTTCATCAAAAAATACGAATACAAATACATCTTCGCCTCATACGATGCAATCTCCTACTAAACTTATCATCACTTCTGAAAGTAGTGGATTCCGTCATCTTTACCTCGTAAACAAACCTTCTGCTGAATCACCACGTTACCACATTAGACCTATTACTGATGGAAATTGGCCCATCGTAGATCGACCCGTATATGTTGATACCAAAAGGGAACTTGTTTATTTTACTGCCAAAAAAGATACGCCGTTGGAAGCTCATGTATATGTAGCCAGTTATGCTGAAACAGCTGATCCTTATTCAGTGATACGGCTCTCAGAACTAGGCTACAGCCATTTTGTGGTAATGGATGAAAAATGTGAGAGGTATTTGGATTGGTTTTCCAATATAAAGGAAAAACCAAGATGTGGAGTCCGATATTTCGAATGGGATGAAGGGCAAGTATTTCCTAAAGTAAGTGAAACATTAGGAATCTTGGTGAAGGGTGGAAATGAAGAGGAGGAAGTAAGAAATAATGAAGACAAACGACAGAATGAACGAATTCCTATAGGTGAATTTTTCAATTTTAAAAATAGTGATGGTGTAACAATTTATGGATGTTTATACCGGCCGGTAAATTATATCGAAGGGAATAAATATCCTACTCTTTTGAGCATTTACGGTGGACCTAAATCTCAGGTATGATTATTTTATATTCTTTTATTTACGTATGTTTACTTTTTAACGTACGAATAATAAAATTTAATATTATATATATCGCAGATGGTAACAAACGACTATAAATACCCACGACTTCTTCGATTATTCCTTGCAACTCATCTTGGCTTTTCTGTTGTTTTGATTGATGGCCGTGGGTCCTCTGATAGAGGTTTAGAATTTGAGTCCTATCTTAAGGGTCGTATGGGCACTGTTGAATTAGATGATCAAATTACCGGGTTAAAGTATTTATCTTCAAAGAATATGGGTGTTGATTTGGAAAGAGTTGCCATCACTGGTTGGAGTTACGGAGGGTATTTAAGTTTAATGGCGCTCGCGCAATACCCACAGATCTTTAAGTTGGCCATTGCGGGGGCACCGGTAACGCAATGGGAACTTTACGACACTGCCTACACTGAACGTTATATGGGACTTCCAGAAGAAAATGTTGAAGGTTATCACAACGGGAATGTATTAACATGGGCGGAAAAGTTTCCTGACGGGTTAGTCTCTTATAACTTATGCCAAGCAGCTTACAACTCTGAGTATTATTTACATTTTTATGAGTTATCTGATTTTATAATTTGTTTTTTAATTTTTTCTCGACTTTAGGGAGAATCGGCTTCTTATTGCCCACGGACAAATTGATGAGAATGTACATTTTAAGAATTCCGAATTATTAGTTGCATCTCTTGTGAAATATAATAAGCCACATGTTTTACAACCATATCCCACAGAAAGACATGGATTAAGACATGCGAATGTAGCAGAACATTTTGAAACGCTAATGTTTTTTTGGCTAGTTAACTACCTGTGACTCTCTATTGTTGTTTACTAATATGTGACTCAAAAGTCCACATTAGAAATGTTATGTGTCAAATTAAGATATCTAACAACTGAACATTTTACATTAAAAAGAAATGTTCCTTAAGTGAACATAGTTATTTATATTTTGGACATCGAAAATTTTGTATTTTTATTTTTTTATAATGTATTTTACGAATTGCTATTTTTATTAGCATTACAGTTGTTATTCGTGATTTTTATAAACATTTTATTTTTAATGTTAGAATTTTAATGTGGTTTTTCGTGAATTATCTATCGTGATTTATTTTAGACCTTATAATTAATAAGGTAGCTAAGCTTTTAATAGTATGATATAAAAAATAGTTGCAAGGTAAATGTGAAAAAATTCAAAAATTTAAAGGGCGACAAAAGTACTGGTAACTGTCATTTCCGTAGCCATGCTTGTAATAATAATTAAAATTGAATAGATCTGGAATTAACATGAAATTCTTTACTATTTTGACAACAATGTAGAATTTTAAATTTCTATTTTATGATTTGTTGACGAACAGACTTGCTTATTTAAAAATGTATATATATCAAATATATATTTTGCGACTAAAAAAAAAAGTTCCTAATACATGAATCTATTTTTTGAGCTTTCGATTTATTTCGACAAGTTTATATCTGTAAAGAAAAAAAAAATTCTTTTAAATATACGTACCTTATTAGATTTCACGCCAATTATTGAATTACATAACATTAATATGGATTATATCTGTTCTGATAAGAAATTTTTATTTTACCGTTCCCTTTAACAATAAT